CACACACACACACACACACACACACACACATTTCATGCAGTCAGAGCCTGATCATTCTCTCCACTTTGCCTTTTAGTATATTGATGCAATGTCATTATAATACATAGTCATGTATTAACCTTGATGTTAATTATTTATTGCCTGATAATGTGGTACCAGTATGGTGGCTCAGAAGGGTTTTCTGTCATCTCGCATCCCCGCAGGTTTCCTCTGCTACTCCAGGTTTCCTGCAGTGGGTGATTGTGTATATGCGTATGCTCTGCTATGGCCTGCATTCAGTCCAGGGTATAGTTCTGCCTTGTGCCCTATGCTGCAGCCCTTTGTGACCTTGATCAGGATGAGCGTATGGATAGATGGATAGATGGATGAGTGGGCGTAAAGACCGCAAGCTGCCTCCTGTCGCTATGTTGTTAAAGAGCCTTATTATTTTTTTCCAAGTAATGTATAACATTTTAGGTCGCAATACATTTTACAATTTGGCTCATAATATAGTTGTAATATAGTTTATTACTGTTACATTATTATAATATAGTACGCTGATCATGATTCTTAATATAGTCCCCGGAATTAACACTTTCATATGATTCCTGCTCTGCCGCTAATCTGTAGTGTCTTGATCTCTCTACTCCGCTGAGGCACATAAAGCCCTCCTATCAGCTGACTGTCCCGCTCCAAAGTAAATGTTTTATTGCACTATATTGATGGGCTTATTGTCATCATCACTGTCACCTAAAATTTCTTAATGACCCCCCCCTCCCTTCCCTTCCCTTCCCCCCCCTTCCCCCCCTGGGGCAATAAGGTGCCCTGAAAAGGTTTTGTTATCTTTTTTCACACGCTCTGACGTTAGCCTTGTTTTACGGCTTGTAGCTCTTTGTCTGCTCTGACCCTCTCCCCCCGGCCAGTTTTGCTCATTCCTCCTGGAAGTCTTTTGAAGGCACAGAAAAGCCCATGAGTGTAAGCAATGACCCCCCCCCCCCAAATCTGGGGGGCTTTCCACCCCATACCGTCCGCCTTCTCTTCCGCACCCGTTTATTGAATTTCACCTCCACATCATTTATCTCTCCTCGTCACCCCCATGAACGATAACAGGGGTACTCAGTAGGTGGCTATGTTATTGGGGGCAGTAGACCTTGGCTTCGTGTGGCTGATAGAATTTGGACCTCAGGGAAAAAATAATTCAGTCCCCCTGTTTTACAGAGGCCATCGCATTTTTATAAGGTGCTGAATGATTCAGCTGAATGTCCCATGGCAATCCTGAAATCTAATTCTTCAAACCTCTCTTTTCATTTGACACTTTTAAGTTTCTGTCAGAAAACACCCTTGTTTATGATGCACTAAATGCAGGAACAGGGGAAAGCACTGTATGTGTGTGTGTGTCCGTGTGTGTGTCTGAGGATTATGTTTATATTACATTGTGGGGACCAACCATTCCCCACAATGTAATAAAAACATGCTATTTTGACATTGTGGGGACCATTTTTTCAGGTCCCCTCAAAGATATGTGAATGCAATCAAAAAAGTAAAAATGCCAGAAGTCTCATTGTGTTTGATCACTTGTGGTTAAGGTTAGGGCTGGGTAGGGGTTAAGGTCATCATGTTAGGATTAGAGTTTTCCCTATAGAAATGGAGAGTCCCCACAAAGATATAATTACAAACTTGTGTGTGTGTGTGTGTGTGTGTGTGTGTGAGAGAGAGAGAGAGAGAGAGAGAAACACCCAGGGTTGACCGACAGGTTCATCCAAAAGTTCATACTGTCCACGAGTCACTCAGAAACACACCTACCGGTCCGACAGCCAGACGTCTGTCACCCATCCATGTCTGCTAAGCCACAAGCAGCCATGGGGATGACACACAGCCTGAGCTGCAGACCCGACGCCGGACATTAAATGCAGCATCACCTTTTTCAAAGATGTCAGGAAGACACTGACAGACAGACGCATCCCAACAGATTCCTGCTCACCGGCTGCCCAGTACCCACACAAATCAGGACGGAATCAGACAGGAAGCCGCACCATGTCTACCCTGACGTGTGTGTGGCACTGGGGTTGGGTACCTGCTCTCCTTACGATTCATCTCAGGCTCCCAGTCCTTCGTCTGCGCCTCCTC